CGCCATCTCTCTGATGGAGAGACAGTCACACCCACCACAGACAACACAGCACATTTGCTGGAATCCGAAGGGGAGTTGAAGTCAAAAGGAGTCTCGGGTGTGCTCACATCCTATTCATCAAGATCTGGGTAAGCTCCTCATTTTTTGGTACAGATTTAGCATATCAGATCTGGTAAGTCAAGTCCTATTTGTTCCTCCTTCAAGCACTTGATAAAGATACAAAAATCAGTACTGATAACAGGGTTTCTGCCAGTGCCCTCAGGCTCAGCTGATAAGAATTAAAGAAATATCCATGTGCCTTCCCAGATGGCTCTCTAACAGATCCCTTCCACAGAAACTACTGACGGAGGTTAATTAATAGTCCATAGGTTCATCATAGGTGTGAGACAGTGAGGTGTCATGGGTTCCTGATGTTAAAAAGCATGGTTGCTGGGGGTCTTGGCCACATCAAAGTTATCAGAAACATTGCAGAGTTAAAACATCCTTGAGAAGACACTGGTGCCATCCTCAGGAGAACAAGGAAATATGTCCAGGCTTAAGTTTGGTGTTATGGCAGGTGACATAACAGCTTATGAGCTCCTCAGGAGGAAGTGGTGGGCAACTGTCCCGACCCACGGGACAACAACGGGGGCACGCAGGAACCACCTAAGAGAATGAAACAAACAAGGAAACGCAAAAAGAATGAAGGCAAGACAAGGTTCTGATCAAAGCCTCAGTTTTATTCTCTGAAATGGCAGAGACAAAGGGGGCAGGGCTGCCCATGCAGAGGGGTCCCTGGCAGTGTCCAGGGGGAGATCAGGAGGAGGGAAGTTTCAGAAGACAGGAGATGCTAACCCCAGGTTAATCTTATCTTCTGGATAAGCCCTCAGGCACCGCATAACTTCTGCTAGAAGGAACTTAATTCTATTTCCTTAAGACTGCGTTGCTTGCCTCACTCTGCTAGCTCCCAAATCTCCTCCCTTTGTCTTATTGAGGGTGGGCCTTAACCGATTGGGGGAGTAGTGACCTGGTTCCTCCCGTGGGTTTCCCAGGCCCACCAGTGTTAGCGGCTCTTGGTATCTTTTGGGGAGGAGAGGCAGAGCTGATTGGATTTGTATTGATACCAACCTCTATGCAAACCCGGTGTGCTCACAGGGAAATCCAGAGGGGGTCGAAATTTTCCCGTGACCTTCCCTTGGGAAGAGTGGGTCGGAAAATTTTTTTGGACCTTCCCTTGCAATGCTTTGCTCTGCACCCATATCGGTACCCATACCTTTCTCCTTAGTGGGGAGTAGGTAAGCATTCCTCTGGTCATCATGCTGCCCCACAGGGAGGGAGCGATGGTAAAGTTCATAATCTTGTTCATTGGTCAGCTACAGCTAAACGGTAGTAATGTACCTGGATGGGTTTTGCCAAGATGCTGTCAATGTGTTGTTTTACAAAATCTGTTAACCTCCGAAAAGCCCAGGGGCCAAAGGATAGGATTAATAAGAAACCTATGAGGGGGCCCAGGATGGGGAGAAGGTAGGGGAGAAGTCTGTTTAGTCCGCTCCAGAGAGGGTTCTCGAACAGTTCTTTCTGCTGCTTTATCAGGTCTTCTTATAGTTTCTTGATCTTGTCTCGGACGATTACAGACTTGGCGTAGAAACAGCAACGTTCCTGTAGGGCTAAGCATATCCCTCCCTGCTCTGCTGTGAGTAAGTCTAGGCCTCTTCTGTTTTGTAAGACTACCTCTGCTAGGGAGTCTATTTGATCCTGAAGGTCATTGATGGTTCCGGAAAGGGCTTGAACATCATCAATCAGCTGATTAGAAAGTTTAACATATGAGTTGACCGCTACTCCTAGACCTGCCGAGCCAGTGGCCACGGCTCCTGTGACTCCTAGACCTATGAGTAGGGGGATGAACTGAACCGTGCGCTTACTGCGGCCGCTAATATACTCAAGGCTGGGCAGGGGGACGGGCTCATCTCCTGGGACAATGTCAATATCAGGGAGGAGGATAGCTTGTATACATAGCCCGGTCCAATTGATAGGCAAGGCCGTGAAGGCCATGTTTCCTCCACATATAAAAACTTGTCCAGGAGCAGGGTAGAGGGATGAAGTTTTACTAATGGTAAAAGAGCAGTTTGAAAAGGTAATAAATCCCACATCTACATCATAACTATTATTCTGAGGAGGGCTTTCTAGGCATATTGTTGAGTTAAATCTTAAAGGTTGAATCCTAAAAGGAAGACTAATACTACAATTATTTTCTGATAGAAGGCTGGTAACGTTAGCTGGGATGGCGAGGGGCATAGGTGTACCAAGCGTCATGCATAGCCAACAATTCTCTGCCAGTTTCGGGTTGGAGACATTGAGGGCCTTTAGGGTGGCTTCTAGAATATCTGAGGTTTGGGTATCTAAGTCTATACCTCGGGGTTTGGGTAGAACTAAAGGGTGGTATTGTAGCGGAGGGTACTTAACTTTGATAAATTCTTCTATTTGTTTTTGAACCTCGGCTTCTCTTACCCTATCAGATGGCCCGCCGCCATCAGATATATGGATTGGAGCTCGCGGTGGCCAGCAGATGGGTTTGCCAACTGTGCCACGGCAAGAGGCTTGGGCATACTTAGAGTGGCCTCTGGAGGTATGGTCGTATTCACCTCCGAAGGAGCCAAGGTAGGTTTTCTCGAGAATGGCAGTTAGGTATACCTTGCCGTCAGTATGGGTACACTGTTGGACACTGCTATAACAGGTAGAGTGTAGTTCTAAGACTGTTTGGCAATCCTTGGGACAAGATCCAGGTCTGCCGTCAACTGGGGGTATGATTTTAGGTTTATTCTGGCATTTCCAGCTTTGTTCAATCCCATCAATACGTTGCTCATAGACAAGATAGGCAGTGAAACTGCCGCAATCGGCTATGCGGGTGTACCTGGGAGGCTTTCCTGCAGTACTACCCCCGTCACACCTACAAGGGTTGCCAAATAGTTTTAGGATTAATTGATCTCTGTTTACCGGAGGTCCTAGTCCACCGCTGGTCAAGGGGATCAGGATTGAAAGCAGGGTCAGGATAATTTTTGCCATGATCTGTAGAAGGAAAGGGAGGGAGTCTTTCACAGGGGAATAGTTCCCTGGAAGGGAGGTTGTTATTTAGGGGAATTAATGGGTTTGATCAGGCGTTCTGGTAGCCATCGCGGTCCTTCCTCCTGTGTGTCGTAGACACATGCAGATCCTCGTCCCCAGATAAGGACCGGGTCTGGACCGTGCCATTTTGAGGTCAATGGATCTTTCCACATGACTTTTGCGTATTGATTTTTTGTTTCCTGGTGCCAAAATCAGTCGGCAGCCGAGTTTCCTTCTTTGTCTAATTTTAAGAAATTTAATGTAAATAACGCATGATTTAAAAGGTTACGGGGGGAGCCTCTAGTGGGATAAACATCATTTGTTTTTAGTTTGTTTATGGTGTTTTTTAGGGTTTGATGAGATCGTTCTACTATTCCCTGTCCTTGGGGGTTATAAGGGATGCCAGTGGTGTGCTTAATGTGAAATTGATGGCAGAAATTTTGGAATGCCTGAGAGGTATATCCAGGTCCATTGTCAGTTTTGATTTTTTGAGGCTTCCCCATAACGGTAAGACATTGGAGGACATGAGCTATAATATTCTTAGAGGCCTCTCCGCTATGGAGGGTGGCGAAAATAAACCCACTGTAGGTGTCAATGGTGACATGGGCATATTTGAGGTTGCCAAACTCAGGGATGTGGGTGATGTCCATCTGCCAAATTTCGTTGGAGAGGATACCTCTGGGATTAACTCCCAGGTGAGGGAGGGGTAAGAGAGTGACACATCCAGGGCAGCTTTTAACGATGTGTCGGGCTTGTTCTCTAGTAATTTTGAACAGAAGGCGGAGGGTGTTAGCGTTGAAGTGGTGGATATTGTGGGCCTGTTGAGCCTGGGAAAGGGGATCTAAAGAAAGGGAGTATACAAGTCGGGTGTTTCGGTCTACTGCTGCATTGCCTTGAGAAAGGGGGCCAGGAAGGTCTGAATGGGCTCTTAGGTGTCCAATGAAGAAGGGGGCTAGTCTATTTGTAATTAGCGTTTGTAATTGCTGAAAAAGGGGGACTGCATTGGTGGTGGGTTTAATATGAGGGACAGTTTCTAGTAGGGGAATGGAGGAGCTATCAGTATAAAGGTTAAAAGGGGTGGCGGGTAATTTTGAAAAGACTTGTAGAACAGCAAACAGTTCAACAAGCTGTGCAGATTTGAAAGGGGATTTAACAGTGAATTCTTGACTATCAATGGTGTATGCTGCCATGCCAGTGGAGGATGCATCTGTGAACACTAGGGATGCTTGCTTAAGGGGGTTTTTAGATGTGATCTTTGGAAAGATAAAAGGGTGTATTTGAGCGAATTGGAGTAATTTATTAGGAGGGTAATGATTATCTATTGTTCCCTGGAATGAGGAGAAGGAAATAACCCAATCATCATCTTGCTGGAGGAGCCAGTTAATTTGTTCTTTTGTATAGGGAAGTATAATATGATCGGGGTCTCGACCAAAATATTGACGGCTCCGTTCCCTGCCTAATCGGAGAATTTTGGTTATTAAGGATGGATATGGAATGAGAACTCGGGAGGGGGATGAGGGCAAGTGGATCCAGAGTAGGGGGCTGTCCTGCCATAAGACTCCCGTAGGTGTGTGGGTAGTAGTACAGATAATGAGCGAAAAAGGTTTATCATAGGATAGGAATGTAATTTGTTGCTGCTGAATGGCAATTTCAACCTTGGAGAGGGAAGATTTAGCCTCTGGAGAGAGTTTACGGGGGGAAAGGGGATCAGGGTCTCCTTGTAAGATGTCAAAGAGGGGTTTTAAATCTCCTGTTGTTAGTTTTAAGTAGGGTCTGAGCCAGTTGATGTCTCCTAAGAACTTCTGAAAATCATTAAGGGTTTGTAATTGATCAGTTCTTAATTGAATTTTTTGAGTTGTAATGCTATTTTGATTTAGTTCAAAACCAAGATAGTAATAAGGGTCTTTGAAGCCCCAAAGAGGAAAGGCGGGCAGCCAGTTCTTGGCTGCATTTGAGGACTTCAGGGCATGAAGCTCCTGCTAGGAGAATGTCATCCATGTAATGTATAATGTAAATAGAAGGCCAGCAAGGTCTGAGAGGGTCTATAGCTTGGGCCACAAATTTCTGACATAGGGTGGGGCTATTTGCCATGCCTTGAGGGAGTACTTTCCATTGGTACCGGGGCATAGGTCCTTTAAAATTAGTAACAGGGAGACTGAACGCAAAACGTTCCCTGTCTTGGGGGTGTAGGGGGATTGTGAAGAAACAGTCCTTGAGGTCAATGATAATTTTGTAGTAATTGGCAGGAATGGCAATAGGGGAGGGAAGGCCTGGTTGGAGGGCTCCCATCGTGAACATGGTTTTGTTGATTTCCCTGAGGTCCTGAAGAAGTCTCCATGTCCCTGTTTTCTTTTTAATTATGAATATGGGAGTATTCCAAGGGGAGGTGGTGGGTTCTAAATGTCCAGCAGCCAGTTGTTCCTGTACTAATTCAGTGGCAGCTGTAAGTTTTTCGTTATTTAGAGGCCATTGATCTACCCAAACGGGGGAGTCGGATTTCCATTTTATCTTGTCCGCGTGGGGTACAGGAAAGTCAATGGCCGTTAAGGAAAATGTTCACTCCCTAGACCTAAACGATTGTTTCTTGGTGTTATAGATAATGGGACTTTTATTCCCTGTTTGTTTCTTCCTAGTCCCTGTCCTGGTAAAAATCCTTGGTTGAGCATCTGTTGAGTAATAACTTCATTGGGGCTACACATGATGAGCTTTAATTGGGATAAGATGTCTCGTCCCCAAAGGTTGACAGGTAGGCCTGGGACAATGTACGGCTGTACCTGTCCGGAATTACCCTCGCTGTCTTTCCAAGTCAATATTTTTGAGCTTTGTTTCGGGTTGGTGGACTGACGGATTCCCTTAAGGTGAGTTAGAGACCTCGCAAGGCCAGTTTGGTGGCCAGTGTTGGTCTGAAATTACTGTGGCATCGGCCCCTGTGTCAACTAGGCCCTCAAGGATTTTCCGTCTAATTGTAGGGTTAATAACGGTCTCTCTGGAGTAATTTGTTGTATCCAATAAGTATCGGATGACCCAAGGGCAGCCTCTTGCCTAGGGCGTTGGGAGTGACTCTTATTGGCAGAGTTTAGAGGAAGTAAGATGAGTTGAGCTACTCTCTTTCCTTTGGGGATGGATATGGGTCCTGATGGGGCCGAGGCTAGAAGAGTGATTTGGCCAGTATAACCATTGT